CATTTTGTCTGTGACAAAGCCGTGTTTTACATGGGCAAAATTGCATAATGGAATTAGCATTGATCGTCACTAATTGAATGAGTTCAGGCAGCATTAATCATGTTTTCGCGAGCGGAAATTGCATTTTTGCATAATGCACTGGCACATGGTGGAACGGTGGACATTTCGACTCGGTTTTGCTGGAGAACAGTTTCGGATTTTCCTCCCTAATGAGATCAGTGTCTTGGTACTTGATTCGTCATTTTATTTCCACTTGTAGATGGAATAGCGCGCTTTCGGTGATCAATCACACTGCACACTTGTGATCCTCCGGAACGATTTACTTGGGTGTGAAACTACACGCGAGAATGGGGTTGCTTTACTGTGAGGGTTTGAACCCTCACAGCGACGTTAATTTATGGATGGCGTAGGAAATCACGACGCCGACATTTCTGGGAGTTATGCGAGCCGCAATAACACTTTTCAACTTTTGATAGTTTCGCCCTTTTAATGATTGATTGCCAATGACAGGCAGAGTATTTTTACCTCGCAAATGCGTCACAAGTGTCTAGTTATTAAATTTAGGCGAGTGCGGATTTGGCAAGGCGCCGATTTATAGGAAAATCATCACCGTCAACTTTGCTTTTTATTAATTAAGTCGCTAAATCCATCGCGGAAAACGTGCCGATCTTCCATTCCAGGGTTCAGGGAAGTGATCAATCTGCGGGATTTCAATGGATTTTGTTGTCGTCTCGTTCATGTTGCACCTGGACCTCGGTCTAATGCGGTTTCAGCAAGACATAGGCGGGATTTGGGGAGACAGATGGGTATTTAATTTAAATACCTCCAAGCTTTTTTAATTGCTCATGTGCGATGGAACGGTTTACGTTTTAAACCTTGAAAAATATGAACGCCCCTCGTAGCCACTGGTAGCTCCTTCGTAGCTTTTCGGGGTCGGTCGGGTGTTTTCGTTAGGACGGCAGTAATGTGGGCAAGAAGGGCGGCGCTATGCAAGGCGTCCTGTCCTCGTCCCACCAGCCGCATGTACGAGGGACGGGTGCTAAATTCTATGACGCGGTTGATTTAAGCTCTGTGTTCGTCTGAGGTTTTCAGGCTGAGTTCTCCGCGAGCCTGATCGCTCAGAAGGAGGCTTAAAGGTGTATTATTACGCAGTTTTTTTTACATTATTCATGCATTAATGAACATCTGCTAGATCATTTCCCCCCGTGGTTCTTTACCTAATCCAGGTGCGGCCGTCGTTGGGGAATCCTCGAATGGATGCGTCATCCTGGGGATCGATAACGGGGTCACAGTTCGCAGGGAGCCGCTCCCGACGCCCCAACATCTGGGTCACGGGATTCCGAGCCTTTCTGGATGACGCCGGTTCGAAGGGGAAACGGGCGCAGCCCGAATACACTAAAAGAGCGGGTTAATTCGTTAATAATCCACGGTTTTTTGAAAGAAACAACCCCCTTGAGAGCTAAACGGGAGGAGGATCGAATCCAGTTGTTTTTGCTGCTGGAAAACCTTCAGCAAAACGAGTGCTAGCAACACGCTTTTGTGCCTATTTCCGCCCTTTGACACACAGAGAAATCGGTTAGAAGTCGTTTTGTTTGCCTGAGCGGAATTTTGCGAAGCAGAAGTTTTGCCTAAGATGTTCTCCCTCCTGGCGGAAGGGATGCGGAAGTGTTGAAACCCTAATTTAAACGTGCAAAAGCACTTGTCTGGCGACTCGAAGATGGGGGGACTTGATTGAACCTGCCGCTTGGCAAACTGTCGTGTGGGCGAGGCCTTAGTTAGGCATTGAATGGAGCAATAAAAATAGAATACTTACTTACTTTACCGGCAAACCCACGCTGAAATTCGTGTACATTTGGATCAATGAGTTTAATGGGTGAGGCCCGGGCCTGTTTTGCTGGGCTGGACAGATTCGTTTCAGAGCTGAACTCAGAACTTTATCATTTAATTATGTACTCCAAGTCTGTATGACTTCTGGACCCTTCTGGATAAAAAAGTCGAAATTTCCACTGAAGACAAGTCTGAAGTTTTTAGTCGACTTGCTGAAAGCCTATTGGCTGGCTGGTGCGGCGAGAACAGGACCGGGTTTGTTATATTTAAGGCACCAACTATGGATTTCGTCTGGCACGTTTTTTTTTTCAATTGCTGTAGCTTGTTAAGCGCTATCGCGCCGCATGTGATCGGTAAACAAAACGGGCAAATAATCCCCCGAATTTGATGTGTAACTCAAACAAGAATTCCGGCCCGAATATTCCATCGTTATTGTCGAACGTGATTGGCGCGTTTCCATCACGATTTGTCGCTGGTTTTGCTCCTTTTTCCCGGTTGTTTCGGTCGCAATGTACAATTTTCCTTGATCATTGTGCGGAAAACCACTAAGGAAAATTAGAAAATCATCAAAATTCCACTTGGGGGCGAAATTGGCCAATACCCACTTCCCGTCCACACTTAACGAAATTAAAAAGTTTCTCCATCGACGTTAATTTGCGGCCTAGTAAAATTAACTCTTGAGTAGAGTGTGCTGAGGGCCGTTAGAGGTTGCCAGAGCTCCAGTTTTCTGGGTGAATTCCCGGGTTTAAATCATGGATTAAGGGTCAGCTCGTTGGCACTCCATAGCTAATATACCAATTTTGACCTTAACTTCCCGGATCGTAATTCACCTGAAAGGTTCCAAACATGGAATATTCATGGGGCGATTTCGGGACTCTTAAGGGCCGTGTAATGTATCGAATTTATTGAAACTGTTTACTTAGGAGGGTTTTAGGACTGAGGTGAGATGCTGTGAAGGATCGGCCTTTTGGGCCGATTAATCTTTACTTAGGCACGCAAATTTTCATTTGGCAACTGGCATCTGTGCAATAACCTAATTAAAAAGTTTCCGCGCAATTAGACAAATCGGTAAAAAATTTCAAAATATCTTCACTTAGGTAAGTGAAACTTTCAGACAGTCTAACGTGAAGTTTCATCCATTGAATACTTTTGAAACACGCTCTGTATCTACTATGGACATTTTGCAGTATTTTTTTTTATAAGGGACTGTTTTCGTATGAACTAATTCGGTTGAAAAGTTTGAAAATTTCCCAAAAGTCCGAAAACCATTGAACTAAAATGAGGCGTTCGGACAGTTTAAGGTAAAGTCTCCTTTATTGAGGAGTTTCTAAAGAAACGCTCTTCTCATTAATTTCCGGATTATTCTTGCGATCGCTCGCATAGTAGGCCCGTTTTTTGACAGCGCAATGTAATTAGTAGCCAAACTGGCAGGCCTACAAGCGCTAAATCGCCGGTTATACAAGTGAAATTACGCTCTGTTTTTCGACAATTAAGAGCTTCAGAAGACAAGAAGGGACTTTAAGTGGTGAGAAAAATTGGTGAGGACGGCTTAAGACCTCAATGGCTTTTAATCGCCAGTTTAAACTTTGAAACCTTCAATTCTTGCAACTGATTCGAGCGACGAATTCGTAATCATAAGCAAAATGAACTCAGCTTTTCTTGTGTGACTTTTAATTTGGGTTTTTTTTGGTAAATAACCCGCAATGGAGTTTTAGCACCTCTTGTCACTAACATTAGTCGAATAGATATGGGGAGAATATCGTAGATGCGAGTCACGTTTCGGCGAAAATTGATACCATCCGCTGTCATGTAACCCATATCTCATCCCAACAAGGGATATGCAAACAAAGCGCCAAAAATCCTCTAAATTTACATGCGATCCGGTATATCGCCCGCGGGAATAGCGCCGATCAAACAAGGGATGCTGTTTAATAAATGTTTATGTCTTTCTATAAGCGCCTATCTTTTGCTTGCTATCTAGAGGGTTGGATTGGCTGGCTGTCGATGTAAATTTGATTTATGTCGCGCTGCGCCTTTTCAGTTTACACGAACAAGAAGCGAGTGCCTCTTAGGTTGTTTGGAAAAACATCTCAACAATCCAATTATTGCGCCCTTGCGCCCATAATTTTCCCCCTAAACTGGGCGAAATTAAATTCTAAGTCGGTGCCGACAATTCGAGGACCGTAGAGTTGAGCACTGGGACAATCAGACGCCTCCCGGCGCTGATGATCCTTCAGGATACCCTCAAACGCCTTTTAAGACACGTGGGCATAATTCGGATCAGTCGAGCGCTGCTGATGTGTCGCATTTTTTTCTTAATTGGACCTTTGGATTTTAACTAAATCCGCTGGTTCGTCCCATGAAGTTCTTTCCAATTGATTACGTAATGCGCTGGTGGATGGCGGCCACTATATTTCCTTGTGTGGAACTGAGGAAAAAGCTACAATGACAGTGACAAATTTGGCGTCTCACCGTCGAAATTGCCTTCGCTCAGATTTGATGGGGCCGAAGGCAGTTTGTCGGCCCGTTATGGGCTTTTGGCCCCCCTTCGGACGCCACTTTTCCCAACGCTCAAGACATTAGGAAACACGATGGATAATTTCGTTTAAGAGATTACGGTTTTATCTCTATCTGTCTTCTTACTAACAAAATATCTTCATTATAACACTGCCAGGTTTTGGTTTATTGGTGATACTGTTGCGGCTGATAAAAAACATCTTTGCGAGGCAATGAAAATCCGAGTAAGCCATTAAAAAACTATTTATTCAGGCATGTTTCGCCCCACAGAGTCTGCAGCAATTGTGATTATCATCATTTTATACCGTGGCCTAGGGAGAGACACTAAAACTCCTCTCACCTATCGTTTAGTATCCTAGGGGCTTCACGCAAAAGACATAACATCACTCATACTGCCAGGAAAATATCTCCATTATCCAGGTATCTCCAGTTAGTTTCCATTGTCCTCTTGACACATATTGTGGAAAAACTCAGCTCTCCTAAACAGTCTAGCGGAAATGAGGTCGTAAGTATTCAAGGGCCTCTCGAATCGAACGCCAGCCGGATCATTTTTATCTCTTTAGCGGTCGTATAGACGATTTATTCGTGTTTTTCCTTGAGCTGTGATCAATTGAATCCGCATTTCACTGAAAGCGTTTTTTTTTCGGTTGTTTCAGCGGTGTCAAAGGAAGAGGCTGAAGAACACAATCATCATCATCATCATCATCATGGTAAGCTGCCCTACAACGGTTACAGCGACGAGTTCCTAGACCGACTGGAGCCCAATGGTAACATACCAGCGGGAAAAGGTGATATTAGATATGGTAAGTGAGTGATTGTTGCTTGAGTCCCCCTTATATTTGCCAGTTTGTTCTTGAGATGATGCGATAAATAATCCTGACATCGCGTGACCGCAGGCTGACCAATGGCCAACTAAATTTTGTCCGAATTACCTTTCCCCCGTAAGTTTTATAGCAGTTGGAAGCGAACACGAACACAATAACGCCCCGGGAGAATTAGTGCTCCACCGGCAATTCAATCAGCACTGGCTACTCTTTGTAACACGACTTAAGTTCAAAGAAAAGAAGAAAAAGTTCGGATCGTAAAAGCAACCAAAATATAGAAATACTTTTTGCGTAATTATTGTGAGCACAGACATGTTTTGTTGTTATATATTTTATTTAATTGAGCTGAACCCGGTTCTGTCCCTGAGACAAATTCGCATCTGCGCTGCGAAACGTCAAATTACTCGTTGGCAAGTGACAGTTGAGACTTGTCAAACTTGTTTATTGATTGGAGTTGATGACATTTATAACATAAAACAATTCTAACACACTTTTCGATCTGTTTCTATTTCTTTAAAAACTTGCAAAAGTTCATTAGAACAAAGCGAAACAAATCACAATCAGATATAAACACCAATGTCAAGAAAGCAAGTGTCAAATTACTACTTAAGTAACTGGTAATTATAATTTTAGCCAAAAAGGGGCGTCTGGACTTTTGAACGAGCGGATTTCTACATTTGATTTGGTTACTACAGGCGCCCTGAACCGATTTGTCAGTCGCTGTCCCTTTTCTCCCATACAAGAGAGTCTCTCTTTCCTTGTCTTAGATAGTTTCTTTTTGACACAGACGTCATTGCATGCCATTATGATCCCGCTCAACGATTAACATGTGTGTCAGTCTGGTTGCCTAACAGAAAATAATGACGTATTAGATCAGGGCGGTATTGAGCGTCAATTTTTTGCCGGTGAAATTTCAAAAATCCATTAGGGGACAGGAACAAAACGAGATTAATTAAAGGGCTTAGCCACAGTCCTGTTCACGATGGCCCATCCATAGGGATATGAGCGTGTGACGTCATTATAATGGAATTCATTAATCAACATTTCATTGGCGCCAAAGGTTGGGCGTTCCAGCCCTTTCAACTTGGGGCAGACAAAGGAGTTTTTGTAAATTTCCGCGTATATTATGTATTTTGTCTGATGGGCATAGAAAGCGGCTTTGTGACATTAATAGGTTTGTGTACGTGCTCCCCCACGAGTTTACCTGATTCTTGGTTTTCGCCCCTAAAGCGTCAGACTGGAATTAATTGTGGGCAATTAGTCAACCGGGATTCCTTGCGGCAACATATTATTAGCACTTCAGCGGGTTTGAGGAGCCGCGAATTAAATCAGTCGACAATGAAGTGGGAATTTTTAATGGAAAATTCACAATTTACACGCAGTGTTCAGGGAGCACTCAAGGAATTGAAAAATATTGAGTCGTTGTCCGAGTCCGCCTCGGGTCGCCCTGTCTGTTTTACGTCGGCATCTGGCTCGCCTGGATAAATAATTAGGCCGCTTAAGTTACTCGATGCGACACTAACGACCCCACGTTAATTAATGACTTCATTAGTGTTTCGGCGTAATAAAACTGTGTTGTGATGGCACGACTGTTTGCCCTGTAGATGTGAGAAACGGTGGCTGGTTAAAAAATAAACGAGAAAGCATCCAGCAAATGCAGGCCACTTTGATAGCGAATTTGTCAGATGCATCATTAATGTTCAATGCTCGGACGTCCAAGTCCAATTTTTGCTGGAATTTTTCCGGATTAGGGCTGCTTGGAAAGTGCATTCGTTGCATCTATTTTTCATTGAGCGCTCCTGCTTTTCCTAAACCGGTCGTACATTATTGAGATTGAGTTGCACAGTTTTACAGATAAACCACAGTTTTGATGCAATATCGCACGTAAAAAGCACTTTCAATTAATTCAGCTCACGGTAAAGGCAGCGCGGCAAAGGAGTTTGAAAATTAAGAAAAATCCGTGCCTTTCTCGAACGCCATCAGAATATTAACGAGCGACACTTTTCAGCTTCATTTGAAATTTTGGAAGAGAATCGAATAAAAAAGAATACAAAAGGAGTGGAAAAAGTATGCAAATCCGAAACATTAACAAGGGATCGACGGGGCGAACGACTGGGAAAACGGGCGGGGATTGTATAATTATAATTAGTGTTGGACTGTGCATTTCACTGTTGAGGAATTAACTACTAACAGTGGCAATTTTTTGTTCCAGACTGGAATAATGTGTCCGGACACGACAGGGTCAAGCGTCAGCTATCGGTGTCGAGCGACAGTAAATTACTGGACGACGACATTCGAGAGGAAACTAAGGTGATTTTGAGGCCGCGAAAGCCACCCAGACCCAAGTCCGAGGTGCTGCTCAACCAACAGGGAGGAGACAACCGGAGGACGAAGAGGTATTCAGCCTTTGGTGTAAGTACTCCTAATTATTACAGAATACAATTCCTAGAAATGAGCTTGGCGTATTTCATTGTTCCTGAATCCACCCCCTCGAGGTTCGTTCTTCAGTTATCCCTAATTATGACAAGACAACATTAAAACAAAAACCGGCTGCTAAACAAAAACTGCTTGATTGAGCTTTCAATCATCCGGTTTTTTTCCGGAAGCTTAATTAATGAATAATGTCCGTTAAAGCTGTTGTTTTCTTGTACTTTCAGGGCGACTCGCCTTTTGGAAAATCCGAAGCCTACGTTAAGTTAGAACAATTAGGAGAGGGATCATACGCCACTGTGTACAAAGGATTTAGCAAGTATGTGATTTGAAAGTGTGTGAGGGATTACGTGCATGCAATCGATTTTCGCTTGCAGTTTACAAAACCAAGTGGTGGCACTGAAAGAAATTAGACTGCAAGAGGAGGAGGGCGCTCCGTTCACAGCCATTAGGGAGGCCTCGCTCCTCAAAGAACTGAAACACGCCAACATTGTCACCTTGCACGACATTGTTCACACCCGGGAGACTCTTACCTTTGTTTTTGAATACGTGGTGAGTAGCGAGCTGAACGTCA